TATATATATTGTATATAAATAATAATATATTATATATATTGTATATAAATATATATATTGTATACAAATAATAATACAGTGCTCAAATATAGGAACATGATATTATAAATCTTATCAATCATAGTTCATCAACGAAAGCTCCGCTCCTTATTAGTTGAAAAGTTAGTATGAAAAAAAAAACAATCTGGTCTGAATTGAACCGTCTACCCAAGAGCGGATATATGGAAAGAAAAAAAAAAAGAAAGAAAAGGAAATTATTGATCACCCAAAACATCTCAGAGGTTATTTACAGGCATCTAAAAATTAAACATTTTGTGGGGAAATGACCCACTAGGGAAGTGTTGTCTCTCAGTCGGCCTCCCCTTTCTTCCCCCTTTCGGACATCCCTTGATCCACCCCTGCTACTGTACCTATAAGCTCTTATGTAGCTTAAAAATGAAGTGCAAGCCCTCAAGTTGTATGATATGAAGGGAGACAGACTAGTGGTATTAGATTAGTAACAATACCGTACTGGCCACTGTGGTCTAAACATTCATGATAGGTTATGATTTATAAAATCATGTTCCATATATATAAGCACTGTATTATCTACTTAATATACAGTAGAACCCCTCTCTTTGGACACCCCTATTAAGGTTAAACTCTTCCGTGAAACATGGGGAAATATATCTTTAACAATACAGCCAACCCCAATTAAGGGGACAGGGACACTTTTTGTGTGTGTAAAATGGTCAAATCAATACAATTTCACCACTATTAAGGGGACACTTTTGTATCAAAACAACTATATTCATTCAAATTTATGTTTTGACACATTTTGAGCAATAACCTAACATCAAACCAGAATTGTTTCCATCCTTAAAATGGGCATTGGATGTCTAGTGCATGTGTTACTTCATATAAATAAAATCTTGTCAATTTTAGCGAAAAAAGTAATAAAAAATAGGTTTTTTGGTAATTTTTTGGTCAGAAAATTAAAATAATAGAGTGCTTTCGATTGCATGACGACGGTAGGACGAAAAATGCAATGACGTCACTAAGAGTCATCTGCGCATGCGAGAACGTTAAGGTCACCTTGTGGAGTAGATTCTGGAATGCAATTTGGCCAAATCTATGCAATCTATGTATGCAGAGAACGTAGGACGCCAGGTAGGACGGGCACGCATGAGTGGTTCTGTTCTAGCGTCGCGTCGTCGCAAAAATCGAAAGCTCCCTAATGTGTAATCATGTACATCATTTGATAGATGATTTTAATAGCGTTTGTATGATACTAAATATATTGAAATTGAATCTTCAGAAGGCAACCAACTTCAAAATATCATTTTGGATAAGAACAATGTTTTAAATTATTTTTTATATGATATGTATGTTCTTCAGTTATCATCCCTAACATTTATTTAGGTATATTGTATATGATGTTGCTCAAGTGGAAATGAAGTATTTACTAACGGTGAAGTTCATCTACAAATAGATCGTCATCAACAAACTGTTTTCGTCTATTGTGAGGACACTATAATTATGTTGTACATATATGTTGGAAGCTGAGATAACGGAATGGAAATTGTGCTGATGTAAAGAATAATGTCTTTTTGCCAATGTATTTCTAGAAATACAATACAAATATTATAGGTATCACCTGCAAGGTAGTTATTATTTGTTAGGCCTATTAGTTATAGTTAGAATAAGCAAATAGCCTTTATTTGTGTGATGCAGAAAATTGGCATCTAGACCTGCCTGTAAAGCAAAAGTACCCTAGCCACATTATTATTATTATTGTTATTGTTATTGTTTAATATTGTTATTGTTTTTTTTTTTGGTTTTTTTTTTGGTTTTTTTTTTGGGTTTCACCCACTTTTATTCAACAATGATATAGGCATATACATATCATATACATAGGCATATTTTCAGTTTTCCTCCCCTTTTTTCCTTTTTACCTTCCTTTCATTTTTTATTATAACTTAAAAATCTTTAATTATTATTATTATTATTATTATTATTGTTGTTGTTGTTATTATTATTATTATTATTATTATTATTATTATTATTATTATTTTGTTAAAATATATTCTTTCATTTTCTTATTCTTGCACTATGTTCACTTTTTCTGGTAGTAACAAGACTTATGTGAATATTACATTACCTTATATACCTGCAGTATAATCATCTGCCCAACATTTTTTATTCTATTATAGTATTAAGACTGATGAATAAAAGAGAAAAAAAAAAAAGGGTCTTAGCACAAAATGAGACACATCGTTGATGAGAGTATATAAACATATGTAATTGCCAACATAGGTCAAAATCAATATTTTCATTAAATATTGGTCTTAAAGTTAAAATAAGTTGTTCTCTAAGATTTTGTGCTTCTCTTTCTATTGTTACTCTAATTTATCTTTAAATGCATATTTTTTTCAAAATGAGAGTCCCATATATCTAAACTGTAAATGAATAAAATAGAAAAAAGAAAAACTTCAAATAAATAAGAGAAAAGAAGTTCTTACCACAAAATGAGACACAACGTTGATGAGAGTATATCAACGTAATTACCAACATAGGTCAAAGTCAATATTTTCATTAAATATTGGTCTTGATTTTAAAGTTTGTTGAAATATTGTTATGGTAGTATACTTCTAAATTGATCTTTAAGATTTTGTGCTTCTATTTCTATTATTTGTTTATTGTTACTCTAATTTATCTTTAAAGGCATCAAATAAGAGTTCCATATATCTAAACATTAAAAGCTCACATCTCCATATCTTCGTATTAAAAGAAAGTCATTAAGGACCTCACATATATGCAGGACTACAGTACATCTTTGATTATTCATTCATTCATTCATTTTTTTAATTTTTTTTAAAGACTCTTGAATTGTATTGCTTATGAGCCCATCATGCATGGTCCTTATAGTTTATTATAATATGGATTGTAAATATTATTAAAAAAAACAAAAACAAAAACAAAACTACAGCTTTGGTGACAACCTGAATTTAATATCACATATCAAATACAAATGCTGTAGTAAGCTTACTGACACATGTTTTGTAAGGTTTTTGTGTAGCCCTCCTAAAGTAAAATTAATATGAACCTTTTGCAGAATTTTTTTTTGTTAAAATATGTTATAGCATTGAACTAAAAGAGAATCATTTCAATATGTTACATGCAGAACATGGCTTGCACCATGGAAACTTGTATTTCGAAGATGAATTAAACTCTTTACAGTTGATTTATATACGTTTGAAGTCTCATTATTTCACAACCTGTGATAGAGAAACATAGCAAGTACTGAAGACTTGTTTCCAGTGGGGTGGTTTTGGTGGTGAATGCAGAAGTACACTGGGGACAATCCCCTACTCTTTTTCGAAAATAGTGTACTGCGTTGTTTAACGTGCATATATGCCATTGCACACAGAAAAGATGGTGCCTTATCATAACTTGCATTTCAACATCCAGTTGAAATAGAAGGAGCACAGAGGCGCAGCCGGTTGGGGGGGGGGGGTTTCAAGGGAATCCTGACCCTCCTTCCTCAAATTATTTCAAAATTTAAAACCTGATTATAGTAGTAAATTATGGGTATGTGAAAAAATGTAATACAGTATATGATAATGTAAGCCATCCTTCTTTATTATGATTTACAGAATAAGAAAGGGACGCTTGACATTGCTTGCAGTAGGTACAGTATAGAACAACTATTTTAAATAGGAGAAATCAGAGGTTCATGTTTATAAAAGCATTATCCTTTGTTGGTGGAACGTGGAAAGAGTAAAATATCTCACTAAATTTATTTTCTTGCTTACACATTGCTAGGTTGATTTTTTGTTGGGCGGTGTTTTAAAAATTAACATGGCGAAACCTCGTAATTCCATTTTTTATCACATTAAATAACGAAAATGTTTCGGGACCTTCAGACCTTCAAATTTTACCCTGGCAGCACCCCTAGAGCAGCAGATAAAATTGAACCAGTAACAAAAGATCTGAAACATGCAATCATCTAAGATAATTGCATTTGTAATTGATTAATTTAAAATACAGCATAATGAATGTACAATACAGATGAAGCGAGTAATTTAGTATAATGTAAATAAATCCAGAGGTGACGGAACAGGGGGTGCTGCGTTATGGAGAGTAATGCGTGACCGGAAATGGTCTGCAGTCAGTTGGTTGTTACCATGCACCAGTGATGGAGTACAGGAAGATGAAACTATTTATGTAATGCATATGTAGACACTATAAATTGATAATGTTCCAGGGATCCTAATGTTGGAAAGAAAATCACACAGGGACAACATATTTTTTCTTACATTGGTTGTAACATGGAGTTGCTGTGTTTTGCTATGCTGTGTGATCAAAGACAGGGCCCACCCTGTCGAGGACGAACTGAAACAAATATTGTACTAACTTTGTCGTCTGTTTTCATCTGCTGGGTTCCACGCCCCCTCGGCCGAACCCGTTGTATTTAGCAACTACCTTTTATGTTAACATGTAGAACACTTAACAAAATAAGATCTGATGAATATATATCGCTGCGGAAAAGAAAATCACCTCAGATTCTGAATATTATTTATGGCACTTATTCATGAGTGGAGATTGTAACATTAAAAAATGTATAAACTTCTTGGGAACTCTAGCAAATTTATGAACGATCTTTCTATCTCGTATTTAAAAATAGCATGGCAACCGAGAAAAGATATTATGTATTGTATATCCTAATTTTTGATGAACGAAATTTATATGAACGAAATTGTCACTTACTTCGTTTTTTATTGTAAAAAGAAACGGTGTTTGACTTTATAAAAATTTTATCGTTCATCTTGATTCACCGTATTGTTTGTTTTGTTTCTGTTTACACTGCTGTTTAAAATGTTTTCTTTATGAACAATTGCTACGCGTGAGTCAATTGCTACGCGTAACGTGTGCCGCCGATAGAAATGCGTATTTTCTCAAATAAAGTATTATTATTATAAAGTATTAATATTACAGTTTAGATTTAGGGGAATACAATTTGAATATTTGTCATATGCCTAGCCTATCTGTTTTTTTATGTTTTTATTTATTTATTTATTAAAATAATTTTTCATACAATTTGGGGGGGGGGGGGGTATGTTTATATTTAACTTAAGCTGATTTTGATTTTCTTATACTACTTGTTACTATTTTTTTAAAGCGCGGTATTTATTTAAAAGATTTTCCGAACTGTACTTATCTGATAAACATTTCGGATGGTCTACTTATAAGTAAAATTTGGGAATCACAGAGAGATGTTACTTATTCCAAGGAAGGAAGTTATCCATTTTTCCCATTTGGTTGTGATATCATTGTTTACACAAGTTTTGAAATCATCCAAAAATGTATTTTCATGAAAAGATTTGTAGTTTCGAAATGTAATTGTTTTATGTTTGGGCCCAGGACGGTCAGTTTTAATGCATGTATAAATAAAAAGAATTGATCGCTTAGTGCAATATTAGCAACATCGGTAAAAACATGTTGTTCAGGAAAAGTACTCATGAGGTCAATACATGACGATGTCTTTTTTGCAAATCGAGTTATCTTGTGAACTAGTGTGAGAATAAACATATTTTCGATTGTTGGTATATAGTTGCCAACCTGAGAGATTTGAAATGCGTGACTACCAGTTGGCTGGGTGGGGTAGAGGAGACGAAGCCCCCAGGCGCTCCGACGATCAGAGCATGCATTTATAAGCTGTTTTAAAACGATTTCAGGGAGTGCTGCCAATATAATATTGACTATGCGTGTTTGATGCTAAATGACAACTGCAGTTTCAGTCACATAATCAACGGTTGCTGGGGGCAGATGCAGGATTTAGCGGTAGGGGGTGCGTGCAAAAATTTAAGGAAATAGTACCTGTAGATGGCCGGAAATGACACTTTTATAGTAAAATTCATCATCACATCACCATTAGTCAAAAGTATCAGCGATTTTCGGCAACCGCAGAGATCTAATTGGTAGGCCTATGTGTGTACACATAACACTTAAAAAACATTCCCTTTGATGTATTTACTTTACCTACTTCAAAGCCATGAGTCCACAAGCACATCTGAGCCCCACCATAGTTGGGGCCGAGGTGAGAAATTTTTTTAGGAAATAGTACCTTTAGATGGCCGGAAATGACACTTTTATACAGTACAATTCACCATTATCACACGATCATTATTTAGTCTAGATGAAGCGCCAGCAAATTACTCATGATTTTAATCAGGCATTTTCGGCAACAACAGAGATCTAATTAATACGAGTGATGTACCATAGAAAATAGAACTAAAGAAACACTTTCTTTGATGTATTTAAAATACTCGACCTACCTCAAAGCGGTGTGGCCACATTCAAATTTAAATATACTGAATGATGTGATCATAAAGCCGACGAAATCACACATTGCATGAAATTAACTAAAGAAATTAGGCCTATTAACTACAGCATAATTTGAGGAAAGAAACGTTTTCAACAATTAGGTTTATTATGTATGTATATAAATACATAAATAAATGGAAATACAGTAATAAAATATAGTTTAAATATAATTTATAGGCCTACAATGTTCATGGTTGTTTCAGGCTTCTTTTGATAAGACGGAAATTTCACTCACAAGGCTTTACATAGAAATTAACTATAAAAATCGAAAAGAAACTCCCACAAACAGGTTCCCACGCTCTTGGGGGTGAAGCAGACACATCCTTTGTACGCCGCCTTCAGGAATGTGGGCGCACTACTGCAGAGAGTGAAGTATTTCAGATGATAAAATCAGACTGGCTAATTTTAGGTGCAAACCCATGCCATGGCAGTGAATGTGTACGCGTGTGCTCACCTCTCGTCTGCTTATATTTTTAATTATTCAACTTGATTTAAGCTTTAACATTTCATTTACCGTATGTGGACAGGGCCCCTGGACCCCTGCCGGCAGGAGCGGATCCAGAAATGTCCGACAGGGGGATCGAAAATGGGGCTGATCGAAATAACTCCGCCGTGTAGGCGACAGACACCAGAATGTAACCCGAGGCGTTTTGGGCGACCAATTTTTCCCTTTTTTTAACTTTCCAAAAAGGTGTGGGGACTAGGGCCGCCCCCGGCGTCGAGCAGGCCCTCGGTCTCCTCCACCCTTTTTGACATTTCTGGATCTGCCCCGGATGGATCCATATCTGCGACTTGGATTTTAGGATGATGTACTACTCTTTGTAAATATTGTATATTAGGGACAACATGATGATGATGATGAAATATTGTTTGAAGGTTTGCATGTTGAAGTAATGCTGGCGGTATAACGTAGACAGTTCTGAAAAGATTTTTTTTTTTTTTTTTTTTTTTTTTTTTTTTTTTAGAAAGTCTGTTTTTTTTTTTTTTTTGTTGATAAATGAAATTACCAGCCGCGAAAACAAACATGTGAAATTCAGATATATTTGATTTAACAATTAAAATACCTCAACAAAACACACAATCATTTATTAGGAATCACTTAGACATTGATAATATATTTTTACTGCTTTGTACACTTGACTTTTCACTACCGATAGAACTGCAAGAAAAAAGAACATTGTTTTTGAATAACTAGGCCTACATACTGTAAAATTATATTCAAACTAATACAAATTTCCCAAACAATAACAATCGTAAAACTCAAATAACAATCATACTGAAAAATACAAAACAAAAGTATTATGCCTACACGGCTCATTCACCAACTCGGTCCTTGTCAACTCAGTCCTTAACCAACTCGGCCCATATACACCAATTTGGACCAACCGACTTTATAGAGTATACAATTTGTGGAAAGAAACGTTACAAGAATCCCATGGTACACTTGAAATTTATTAATAAATACTTTTTTTTTCTTGTTTTACAGAAGAAACAACGCAAATGTTATTTGAGACACGCCCATTTTATCATTTGTTGCGTTACCATTTACGATATGTATTTTAATCATGTTTATAATGTTTTAATAAAATGGAGATTTATGAAATAAGCATCAATAGTTGCCATACGTTTGTTTTTATTGTTTGTTACGTTTCCATTTACCATAAAAGTTCTGATCATGTTTCTAATTCTGTACAAGTACATTCATACTAAATGATATGATGAATAAAAATAAAGGAAATATATACGGTAGTATTCATACTTTCCATATAAAATTATTAATATGTTTGTTTATAACAGTACATTTTAATGGCCATTTTATGAGGCTTCTTTTATATTCATAAGCCTGACAAAATTACTCACC